ATTCCTAGCTAGGCTCCTTACATGCTTTCTAATAACTTATTTGAAGAGTTGAGTCTATGACATTGACATTGTTTCAAGAATAGAACAAAACAGTAATAATAGTGAATTGTCATCCCTTACAGGTTAGTTAGCAGTTATGGATCCAACAGATTAGTGGTGATGGAACTTGGAGGTGCTTTAGTTCTTTAATTACCTGATGGCGCTGTGTTGAAGGCGTAACTAAAATCAATAAAAAGAAGTCTGGCATAGTTTCCGGGGGTGTCCAGGTGTTGTAGCAGACAGTGCAGGAGAGAGGCCACTGCATCATCTGTGCTTCTCCTTTGCTTATATGCAAATTGGATGGGATCCAAGAAAGTATGATCATTTCATTATAACAGTGGTTAGAGCTACAGGCCTGTAGTGGTTTAGCTCTGATGGGTGTGTTTTTTTAGGTACAGGTATGACAAATGTCTTTAATGTAACAGCGAATGTTGAAGTGCAGACTGATTTTAGGACCTGGGATACCAGACGAAGGGACCGTGATATCAAATTGGGTGTAGAAATTCTTGAGATTATTTGCAAAGATGATGGGGTCAGATGCACAAGTGGTCTTCTTGGTGGCTTGTCCAGTGTCCAGAGTCCTGACTGAAAGACTGGTTCGGTGTTCATTCAGATACAGCCGCCTAAAATTGCCAACTAGTCCAGAAGTAGGTGGAACACTTTGTGGTCAGTTATCCCTAGTGGTGGAAGAGCTCTGACTGTAGCACAGGTCTATAGTTTTATTACATTTTGTTGGTTTGTGGTTATTAGTTGTTTTTCCAGCGTTGTGTTTGCTGAATCTCTGCTACGGGGTCGGCTAGTGCAAAGTTGTTATGATGTATAGTCACAATGGCAGGTTGAAGAATTCCAGAATTTCCATTTAACAGTGCCACATTGTGCCTGATCACTTACCTTGCACTATTTGCATTTAATTGGCTGCAACCCTTCCGCTCTCCAAAGAAAATAGGTGCCTCTCATTCTCTGAATTTATGTATCATTGTCTGCTGTTTTGGATAAAAAATATCAGTTTATGTTATGTTATGTACATCTTCTAGACATATGATTGTCTATGTATCTGCATTCTGCCTTTTTTTCCCTCACATGTAAACAAACACTCAAGCACACACATGCTCATGCAAACTGTACCTAACAAGCAGTAAATGGAACAGAGAAGGGCCACCTGGTTCCTGTGTGTTTCAGAGAGCTTTACTCTTAGGGCGAGCCTTGCTACTTAGTTAAACAAAAGGGCCTCCATGTTGGTCCTCTAGATAAACACACTTTCCTGAGAAAACACGGACACAGTTACACTTTAACCTGCCCAGGGAGGCCACAGCTACATCCTCCCGGACAGTTTAGGTCAGACTGGTCTATAGTTCAGACCCGCAGCGAGAATCATGCGCTGCACGTGAAACCATGCTGGCCTGTCAAACAATGGAGCCTTTGACAGCCATACCCCCCTCCCTAGTCCACAGTACAGTCAGAGCACTGTCTCTCTAGGGCTTGGGTGTCACTCCCCATCTCTGCTGTGCTCCCCTGGAGCTGACCAGCTGGCTTCTAGGCTCTGGGATGTGAGAGCAGCAGCACAGAGGAGCTACAGTCAAAGTTCAGCCCAGATTAGCCCAACAGAGAGGCCAGCAGCAACTCAACCCTGTCAAGTCCAAGCTATTCCTGCATAAATAACCTGATAAGCTTGGCCACTTGAGAGGAGGTTGAACTGGTTCTCTTTAGTCTGACCCACCCCAGATAATCTCAGCTCTGGTCTAGCCCATGGTCCTGCTCAGGGATAGTTTTGACTTTGATTTTGGCTGCCCTGTCAGAGCTGGAATTAGTGTGTTTTTACATGCAGTACACACACAGTACCATATGAAATCCATGTAGAGACAAAATGCACAAGTTGGTGTCTGACCCTCACTATGACAAGGATGTGAATTATAGTCCATTATTAACAATGAACTTACAATCAAGACTGGATAATTGAGTAAATGTAAGTGCCCCTTAAGCAAGTTATGTTAATACACTTATGTTTGATCAGCAAATCAGATGTTTTGTTTGGCTAAGAGTGAAGCATTATTTTTTTCTGTACTGTACTGTATTTGTGAATTCTTGTTTAATTTTTTTATAGTTCATAAGAATTAGATTTTTAATGTCCCGGATGATAGTTCGAATTGTAGCAAATTCCTCTGGCTAAATACATGTTTATTCCTTTGAAAAGATATCTGATTTGTGGGGTGATCTAGGGTATTGAGTCTGGGTATTTTCCTTACTGGTATCAGTGTTCATACAGAATTTGATGTAGTCTATGACGAACAAGATCTGCTCATTCAAGAGTGAAGCAAAACATTTTTTTTTTTTTGTATTTTGCATATACTTATTAAGGTAAAACACCAGAATAGTTATAGTTACATTTGGCTCATTCATTGCAATAACAGTGTTGTCTACTAGTTCACATATGGACAAGTGTTGACCTGAAAGGTGAGGCGTACAAATTGTGTGCATTACAGGTGCTGTCAACTATGTTTAGGTTGGAGTTCATACAGTCACATGTTTCCTCAGTATCTTGTGCATGTAAAACACAAAGGTGAAAGGAGGAAGCATACAATATATCACTATGTCTATATTACTGCCTGGATAAAAAGAAGTTGACTGAATACACACAGAAGGAAAAATCATGTTTCTTTGGTTAAGTCTACTGCAAAGCTGTTGTTACTGTTAGTATCTATGTACAGTGAGAATGTAAGGGTTAAACGAATTAAAACGCATGAACAGTTTTCAGTATTTGAAACAATGAATAAAGGATTTTTATCTCCCTGGTAGATGATGAACATAAATACAAGCAATGAGTGTTATCTGATGGTGTAGTTATGCAGAGCTGCCACCTCCCCCCGGCACAGCAGCAGTCGTGTAAACAGACAGCGCTCTAGAGGAATGCTGGACTCTGTGACCTCCCGCCCCGAGTGCTGTTACAGTGCACTGAGTTCAGCTGAAACATCCCGCCCCATGCTGCGCCTCCCCGAAGCTCCGCCTCATCCTATCCCAGCCTGAGGCCCCACAGGGTGGAAAAAAACACACCTCTCACCCAACACCACGGCCTCCTCACGTACACGCACATACGCAAACATGAACAGACAGACAGACAGACAGACAGACAGACACACACACACACACACACACACACACACAAGCATACAGATAGACAGACAGACAAGTGCTCAAGTGCTCCCTTTCTTTACCACCCCAGCTGTCAGAGCAGCAAGTTCTTTTAGTTTCAACAGCTTCTCGCCACCCTCATTTGAAGATCTCTTGCAAATCAATTTAATTTACTCAGCCCTTCCTCATTCATCACATCTTGTTGAGTGAAAATTATGCAAATTGTAGTTGAAAATATAATGTTTTGAGCTTTAAATATTTTTCGGTGAAAACACAGAATTTCAGTCTATCATAATTACTCTTGCGTCTGGCACTTAGAAGCCCCTCTACTCTTACTCATTCTTTTCTCTTGTAAGTCACTCTGATATTTGCTAAACTCTTTATTGTGGGTAGAAAATGACAGTGTTAAAAACAAGATTTTAATCGCTTTTTATCAGAAAAAAAGGACAAGGTCAGTACGTTTTCTCAGAAATTAAGCCCTGTCACTGCTTAATATAGTATAGTGTCAAGCTGACACTGCCCTCTGCTGGAGTGCAAACAGAGGAGAAAGGGCAGGTCAACAGGGATGGATGCCCCTAAGATTTGGGTCTGTGAAGTCACACACATTTTACAGAGTATAGAGGCAAAGCTGAGACACTGAAATCTGGGACTGACAGAAATTGAACGTACTTATACGTGTTTACATACGTATTGTTGAATGCCAGCTGTAACCCCATTCACATCTCATGAATAAATCAAACAAGTCATCAGGTGGAAGATTTAAAACACTGACTGACTGCAGTGGAGGCACAGTAAACCAAACACTGCTGATTATCACTTCGCTGCACGTCAACACCTTAAACGCAAGTTGCCTTACACGTGTGTGCATTGCTCGTGCACACAATTAGACATGAGGATGCATATACACACGCACTTGTGCAGACACACAGACACACAATCGCAGTTAGCCGTTGTCTCAGGAAACGAGGAGCTGTCTGGTGCCATAGCAACCAATGCGGATATCCCACCCTTCTAGAGCAAGAGAGAGAGAAAAAAAACAGAAGTGGCAATGACAGATTGACAAGACCCTAATGAGATGCGAGACACAGGGATGAACTGAGATCTATCTATCTATCTATCTATCTATCTATCTATCTATCTATCTATCTATCTATCTATCTATCTATCTATCTATCTATCTATCTATCTATCTATCTATCTATCTATCTGTGACATTTATATGTCTTTGTATCTGTCCGTCTGTCTGTCTGTCTGTCTGTCTGTCTGTCTGTCTGATAGTTTGTCACAGTGAGACTGAAGGAGGAAGTGGAAGCATCAAAGTGTAGCAATGGCGACATCAGGGAATTTGAGAAAACAAAATATAAGAAATAGAAGAGCGGCGCGTGGGTGAGGAAAAGGGGAGAACACAAACTGATGGGGTAGGAGAAATGAAACGAAGCAAGAAGAAAAAAAGACTTAGAATGCTCTCTGGGGCATGTCTGTCTGTTATGAGCACCGAGCCACAGCCTGAAAACACTGCCGCAGTCTGCATCAGCCTGCGTTTCACCACCGTGACTCCTGCTTGAACTGCAATCTCATATGTAATACTATTATTCTGGCCCATATACCAAGTTACATAACACTCTGAGCCAAATCCTGACCTCAATCTGTAAAACAGTCAGTCATGCTCTGATAAAAATATTAGACTTCATAGCAGCACTGAAGTATATGGAGCACTGGAACGAGAAAAAAAAAAAGTAACGCACGACAGCAATCATTGTTAGGCAGTGTTTGGTGATTTGGTCAGCTACTGGTGGCGCACGTGATGTATTCATCCTTCTTTTTCTCTTCCTTAGGTGCCTATGTGAACTTCTGCAGTGGATGGAAAGCAGTAACCGAGTCCCCTCTGGTAAGTCAAGTCTTTACCGAGCCTCACTTCCTGGGCTGGCCTGCAGGTGGAAGTCACACCCACTGCTCTACACCATGTACAATACCAGCATCACTGTTGGAAAAAAAACTAAATCTCCACTCCCATTTCACCATTCCTGTGTGCCAAGTTTGGTGTGATGTGGCAAAGCGACAGTTTGTTGATGGCCACTTCACCTTAGTGCCACGCTGTGTGAGTGAGAATCTATGTGTTTTTGTTTTGTCTGTGTGGTGTCGGTGCTATTTATGTCAATGGTGTAAGGCAGAGGACCACATGAAGTGACTCACAGCACTAGTGTGACCTAATTTTTTTTTTTACCAGTGTCACTGTGAGGACTATGTGCAATGCCAGCCAGCATCGCCAGTACTGTTGAGCTTTGATGTGCTGCCCTGAAGTGAGCCTGTCAGTGAGTCTGTACAGTCAGAGAGGGTTGAGGGAGACTTGAGAGAGGCCATGGATTTGGCTTATCTGAAAAAAGTAGATTCTAAATTAAATGAACATGTCTCTTGTCCTATTATGGAGTGGTACGACCTCTTGTTGGTGGTTATAAAAAGGCGAATAACCCAAGTGTAAGCCCAAAAGAGCGGCTTTTTTGAATCTTTGTTTCCTAAAGTATTTTATCCTCATATGACCTAGTTTTACCATTTTGATGCTACTTGCTGGGATGATTTGAATTTATCTCTCTGGGTAAATACGGCACTGCAGAAACTAGCACTGGTGCATTAGCCCTCCACTGCATCCCTACGCTCGCCCCTCTGTGATTGAAAATATACCAAGGGTAGTGAAAGGCATCCAGTTGCTCCACTGTCCCCATTCTGTTGCTCTGTTACCTGGCATGGCCCCGAGTGCCTCCTCCTCCTCCTCCTCCTCCTCCTCCTCCTCCTCCTCCTCCTCCTCCTCCACCTCCTCCTCCTCCTCCTCTTCAGGAGTGCAGCCCCACCTGATGCACACATCTGCTTGCCCACTCATCTACGCCACGGCTTTGGGAGGTGGGCGGTTGGTGGGGATGGAGTGGTGTTGGAGCACCAGCCAATAACACTCCTTATCCTGACAGCATTGAAGTGACTTGACACATGTATTCAACCAATCACAGAGCACTGCAGCAAAGAAAGCAGCAGTAGTAAGAAAAAAAAGGAAAAAAAAGAAGAGTAAATACAGTGAGAATTTATTCAAAGGGGGGATCTTTGCTGTGCTGTACTTCTGCACTGTAATTCAGAGTATTCTGTATATGACAGAGATGCCAGAATTACAATATAATAACAACTCAAGTGAGACCATATTTAGCTTGATTATTAAATGGGATACAATTATTCATGGTTAATACCATATTTAGAATTTAGTACCTGCAGATGTTCAAATCCTGCGTTATGGCTCCTATACAAAAACTCAGTATGAGTACAATTGAGCAACATCTCCCCATCACCTTCTGATCACACTGTTTGGATGGCTGACCCTGTTGCCTTGAAATGAAATTGTTGAGAGACGAAAAAAAGAGGACATACAAAAGGGAATGTTTGGTCTCCATCTGGGTAGCAGTTATTTTATCTCATTCACTTCCTAATTTCCATCTCCTTTGAATTTCCACTTTGATTGCCTATCAGCTCACATTGATCTGAAAAAGAATCCTATGATTGTCTGGCATAATAAATATGGATGGCATCCATTCATTCATACAAGGTCAATGTAACGACAATCAGTGGCTTTTATTGAGGAGACGGAGAATAGAGTTTTGTCAGGGCATTGTGAGAGGGGGGTAGATCTCTTCCTGCTATACAATGGAGCAATAAACCTCCATATAACCCATTAGGTAAATATACTCGGGTGCCTTGTTGTAACTGTTCTGCACTCAAAACTCTGCCTCTGTCAATTCTCAAAGATATCAACCCGGGATGCGGCTTGTCAGCTTCAGTGTCTGTAAAGTCAGTCACAGCAAAAAAAAAAAAAAAAAGCCTATTACCACGTCTGACACAGCGTGGCAGTACTGTATTAACGGCTGCAGACACATGCAGACAGCAGTGGCCTGCTGGAGGAGAGCCTCTCTATCACTGTTCACCTTACTGTACATGTCACTATTCCTTCAGTGCTGGTATTCCTGTGTAATGAGCCAATGAGGGGAGAATATTCCTTGTGAGCTCAGATGGGTGTTGGTTGTCTCAAAGTTTTACCCTGAACTGCTGGTTAATGGTTGTTTGAGGGATTTCTTTCAGAGTGTGTGATGTAGCAGATGGACACAGGTTTATGTTTTGCTAACACTGGGCATGGTGTGTACCTTTTTGGCTTATCTACCAGTGGCAGGTAAACTGAGAAAATGTACCTGCCAAAAAAACCCAGCCATAAAACTGTATCATGCGTTGTTTGACTAAAAATAATGACCTCAAGTTTCGAGCTGCTCTCAACCTTTTGAGCTGCATATTTTAGCTTGGATCTTGGGCTCCTGCGTTGTTCAGACGCCACCTCTTGCAAAAAACGCTGACCACCATGACTTTTCTCTTCGTCTTCGTTTTTTTTTTGGTGGCTTAACCCCGGGAATGTGGCGGCACATCTCTAATAACGTGTAACACAGATGTTTCATACAGCAAAAACATAGACAGACATTGTGTAGAAAGTGCCAAATAGTAGTGAGCTGCTTTTATTTGATTAGCTGACGTCACGATAAGGACACTGGACAATGAGGATCACATCGGTCTCAGCCGGTAAACTAAAAAGCACAGCCATGTACACCTGGCCCTACGCCGTGCTTCCTAATTATTAACAGGCCATCTGGCTGGTGACCCTAATTTGTTTTTCTGCCAAACCCAAAATGTACCTTCATTTTGCTTTTTTCTGAATTTTGGACCTAGAGTGTTGCTATCTGTCTTTCTGTCTGTCTGTCTGTAGGTAGACACATTATTGTAATAATTCATTAAAAAATGAATGGTAAATACATCACATTTACACCACAGTTTTACTGCGTAGAGTACATTTTTGAGACTGGAGCTATTGGGTCTATCTGAGAAATATACTAATGAATGACAAAATAAAGCTACTCAAAGTTTTAAAATTGATTGCTACTACAATCACGTGAAAGGAAAACAAGTATTTTACATAGAAATAGTAAGCACAAATAATGAGCTCATTAGTTGTTACCTGCAACATTGAGGTTATATTTTTGGCCCTAATAGTTTTCAGCAGGATATTTTCAAATTTTGGTCAAAGTTTTTGACTCTGAGGTAATTAGTTTTTGGTGTGGATCTGGATCAGGTTGCAGGTCAAGGTTTTTTTAAATGGACTTTTCATGAACTACTAAGCTTGATGAAAAAAGTCTGGCAGATGTAGCCCATAATTGTCTCATATTTTTTTTCAAGTTTGATGCAGATCCTCATCCACAGACAGATTAAACATTTTGTCTTACTGTTTTATTTTTGTTTGTTCCTCTGAGAACTTTCTAGTGTTTACAGTACACTGATTATGTCAAGCAGCCTAAACAAATTTTAATCTATAGAAAAACAATGTTCCAGCTTGTACTGTAAGATGGCAAAATATAATATAGGACTGCTCATTGGAAGGCTTAATGGCCTTTTTGAAGATTCTGTCTTCAGTTCAGAACAGAACAGTTACTTGGATTACCTTGAATGACTCCAGCTTTACTTTACCTCAACTTCTCACTTATTATATATTTCTCCAATTGAAATGCACTTAAAGATTTTTACAGTGCTGGACTTATGGACAATATAACTGAAAAACTAAACCATTCATTCATGTTTGAAGAAGTTAGAAGGAAAAATAAAATTGATTACTTTCCCACATTATGTCCGGGCTTTGTAATGCCAAGACAAAGCTGAAGGTGCAAGTAATACCTTAGAGAATATAATGTAATATCTGCAGTCCTCTTAGTCTATTATTAAGGGAAACAACAGATCAATTGATTTACATTGTAGAGTCCATTTCTTACTGTAAAGATTTTTTACTTCTGTCTCTGGCAAGCAACATTCTACATTGTTCTGAATGTTTGCTAAACCAGACTCTATATGATCTGTACAGAACAACAATACTTTATTTAAAAGATTCACTAAAATTAAGTTTCAGTAACAGTAATAATTTAACTCATTCTTTTTATTTCAGTAAAAACTAGACTACACATGTGTAAGTGCCTCATAATTGTTGGCTTTTATGTGCTTTATTTGAAAACAAAACATAATTCTCTGCTTTTACAAAACAGTAATGCCATTCTCTGTTCTTTTGTGCATTCGTACTTAACTGGTTTCCGTCTGGGTTTGATTCAGTAATATTACATTTACATTCTTATATAATTGTTATCGTTATTAAGTGTTGTTCAAACTGCCACTGGGATGGCAGCCACATTACTGAAATTCTTACAGTTTTTTACTGGAAACAACAGGAATGTCACTGAATTCTCGGCTCACCACCTCATCTCATCAGCATCTGAAAGAGACAAAGAAGGAAACCAACCACATATTCCCTCTCACCAAGTTTGAACTGAGAGGTCAGTGTCACGTTACGTTTCACTTCACAAACTGAATCATTGAAATGATTGGAGCTGTGGGCAGAGACTCAGGCGTCTGGAATAAGGCTAACTTCAAATCCATTTCATTGATATCACTATTAGGATATAAATTGTATTGAACTGATCTGTATTATTCTCCACTATGTAACATTTAGGATGATCTATTGGCAGGAATGGATTTAAGTTTTTTTTAGGTTTTCATTTGTGTATTATCATCTGAAAAAAGAATTGTTGTGTTTTTCGTTACCTTAGAATGAGCCGAGCGAGTCCTCTTCCATGGAGTCCGCCATGTTGAACCGCCGTGTTTCTACAGTAGCACAGAAAGTACAAACCAAACAGTTGCTCTAAATAGGCCCGTTTTTTGCGAGTTTTGTGGTCACCGTACTTTTTCCTACATGCTTGGTGCAATCTGCAACTTCACCACTAAATCCTTCACACTGGTCCTTTAAAGGTTGTGTTGCAGTTCAATGAATTTTTT